CAATTTATTCACTGAACTATTCAACGGTAATGAGATCTCTGCGTGTCTATTGACTGCTTGTTACTTCTATTGCAAAATCTTATTCTTCTCATTTTGCTTTGCTCTAACCTCCTCATGTAGTTATTATTATTGTTCTTCTTCTTCATTCTCTTCTTCTTCATTTTCTTCTTCTTCTTCTTCTTCGTCTTCTTCTTTTTTCTTTATCGTCAGTGTATCTCTATCCATTTATGATTTTTTAATTTACCATACACATACAATCCTGCGTGATGCTGACCACATCACCCATCTTGTGCCGATTGGTCTATAAAAATATATGTCTAGCCCTATATGCCCTATGCGCCTAGAGGCGTGGAAAATGGTCCTTTACTTACTTTACTTATACATATACAACGCCTGTCCCCAATTCCTGTGTACATATCTTATTCAAATGTCTTTGTATACATTTCCTTGTCAATATGTCTCTGTACATATTTTATTCTTGTATGTCTACATACACATTTTATATTCAGTTTGTTTTCTACACACTGTCATTCTCCGTCGTCTTCTGCGCACAGCGTATACTCCATATATCTTTTCTTCTCTTCCACGTATATGCCCGGTACTTTTCTTTAAAAAAAATGTTATTGTCTGCATCCCCGTCTGTTTTTCCATACACATAACTTACCTTCCTCCTTCTCTTTTTCCATACACATTTAAACATCTGACCTTCCTCCTTCTCTTCTTCCAAACACCCACCTTACTTTCCTCCGCCTCTTTTTTTTCATATAAACCTTTTGTTTACCTCCGTCTCCGTTATACACACATAACCTTTCCTGGTTTCTTTTTCCATATACTTATGACAGCTTCCCTAATCTATTTCCATTTGCATATCCTACCTTCTTTCGTCTCTTTTTCCATATTCATATCTCACCGTATCTCTTTTTCCATATGCACACCTCCTTTCTTTTCTTTTCCCCCATATATATGTAATATATATCTTACCTTCATTGGTCTCTTTTTCGATATACAAACCTCATCTTTCTCTCATTCGGCTGGGTTATACATCAACCACTGAATACTTCTCATGGCTTGTGAAGTATCCTTATATACCACTTACTGTAATATACATTGGTCTTTTGTAAACCGCATCTCAACTGTTATACATCAACCACTGAATACTTTCCTTGTTTCTTTTTTAAATTCCCCTTCATATTTACTCCTGACATCACACTTTTCACACACACACGCACACATACATACACGCACGCACACATATACACACACGAACATATATATATATATATATATATATATATATATATATATATACGTGGTGCTTATGTTCATGTTTATTCGACGGATCAACATTATGGCACGTGGATGTAACCCATAAGTGCTCAGTTAAACTTCTATCTCAAGCGTGAGTCTGAAAAAACTCAGCGCAGTCCACGAACGAATATTGAATATAAATATATACAAATGATACAATGATAATTTACTGAACTAAAATTAATAAATAAAAATAATTATAAACATAAACAGATGTTTAGAAATAGGAATTTTTTACTACATGTGGGGGTGGAGGTGCACCGGCGGCGTGGGTCGGAGGTGCACCGAGGGCGGGGTGGGAGGTGTAAGGGAGGCGGGGGAGTGGGAGGTGCACCTCACCTCTCACCGTTTTCTAATGGGGAGACAGCTTAACCAAGACCGGCTCTTGGCCGAATTATAATTTTTCTTGTTGTCGGGGAACCGGGGGGTGGGAGCGGGCGGACTCAAAATACCCGAGACCTTATGTTTTGGCGCCACGCGCACACATACGTGCGGCCGAGTTATTAATTCACATTTAAATGTTTTTTACGGTAACTCTATACAAAAGAGAGAGCAGAGTTACACACATAAAGAGACAGACACACACAGAGAGAGAGAGAGAGAGAGAGAGAGAGAGAGAGAGAGAGAGAGAGAGAGAGAGAGAGAGAGAGAACAACAACAGCAGACAAAAGGTAGACCCGAGTGCGTGCAGCAAACAAGTCTAGTAGAGGGCAAACAAGCAGAAACCAGGTCAAGCTGTATACACCGTGGATGGTTCGATCTGGTGCGTTCGCCGGTGCAACGTGGGGTTGGCCACATGACAGGACTTTCCGTGCTAAACCAGGCGTTGTATATAAGGCCGGGACAAGCGCGCGGGTCCTATAATCTTTGTACCTCCGTGATAGACACACCTGTAATTGGCTGAATCACCGCAGTTCAACTGTTGTTCTTCGCTTGAATTTACCTGACGCAGTAAGTGTTTTGTAAGTCATGACTAATACTTGATGTGCATCGTTTTCCGGGTCTTTTTAAAAATAATTTTTAGTGTGTTACTTATTGTTGTTACAGTTCTTTTAGTTAATATAATCTGAAATCAGGCATGTGATATATTATTATTATTATTACTATACTGACACTATTACAATCAAGTGGATGTTACCTAAGTATATAAGCGCTATATTGATATTGTCATAATCAAAGGTCTTGACTATTGACTTCTCGATATACATTTCAGCCAGCCACATTAACGTCTTCTTGTGTGTTTACGATAATTCTGTAACTGATAGTTCTTGACATTCTCCTGCTTGTTTACATGTTGAAACCAGCTGACTATATTTTGTATCAGAGGTCCTCACATTTCTTGTCTTTTTACGATATTACAATGTCTCTTGACATTTTTTCGTGTGTGTTTTGATACTGCAGTCAAGTACCTTAACGAACTTTTAATTGTATTAATTAGCATAAAAGTTTGTTTTTAAAAAAAAAAGAGGGCCCTATGGTGCATCGAGCATGTGTGATGCCATGTGTTGTGTAAAATCAGTCGATCCTTAGTGGGACATGAGATCAACATCACTCTAACCTCCTTTGTTTCATATTCTCGGTACCCATTTTAGGCTATAATTTTCCCCATCGGCAGCCAATTCCTACAAAACAACTTCGAGTCGAGGGACTAGCCGCTTCACCACCGGGCGGGTTCCCCGCGTGTGTAAAAAACATAAGTATTCGTATAGCGTTTGGAAGTTCAGAATGGGAATCAAAAATAACTACATTGAAAACTACGCGCATAATTTAAATGTGCAGACACATGCGATGAAAGGATTAACATAAAGCAAAGATGCTAAACTCTGAGTCAGGCTGATAGAACAGAAAACACATTCGGTAAGGTAGCAGTAATCTGAACATCACATGGGTCATGGTTGGAATCAGTAGGGAACCAGCAATGACTCATTGCAGGGTAACCTGTTGTGACCCCAACACGAGGTGTGTTTGTTTGACTCATGAACTTTCTGGGATAGGTCGCAAGTAAAGGGCATCATCTCCGCGCTTTATGGCGTGTCATGGGCTCAGTACAGACCCAGACTTGAGCCATATACCAGTGCACAGATTCAGTAGTCACTTGGTGGTAGTAGAAGCAGCAGTAATAAAACCACACATGAGTTATAATGGGGATATTAAGTAACGTGGCTGTTATATTTAAACAAATAAAGCATCTGACATGGTTTGAAGTGGTGCTAGCTGTGACACAGGCCACACACTAACAGAGCATGCAAAAATTGCCCAGTGTAACACAGTTTACTGTAGAATTCCGGTTGTCCCTTGTCCCATGGATATGATTTGTCATGTTAAACGCCCATTTCAATTACTGGCACTGTTTTACTGGCAGTATAACTAGTTCTAAAAAAGAAAAGTTAGACACGTGTCTGTTAGTAGGAAAGTCTTGGGTTTGCATCCACACCAAAAGAAAAAACAAATTAACTTGACTCCACAGATGACCAAAGCCAGAATGGGTACCAGAAAATATTGTAGAATCAAAGGCAGTTATCATTACATCACCAACCAATATTTCATGAAAAATCAGACAGTTAAAGTCAAGCTGATCAATTTCATTGCACTGGGTTTTATCCCATATCTCATTCTCTCTCAGCAAAATAGCTAGCCACCTGTCAAGAGCGTTTCACAAAGCACAAACTTCGTAGTTCCTGCAATAATCCCTGGGTGGTGTCGTTAAAGTTGCACTCATGAACTGAATGGTTCACCTGTGAAAATGAGCCCATGACCTTCAGAGGGCAAGGCAAATGAGTTGACCACTTCGCCATGGAGACACCCACACAAGTGCTGGTGGAGGTCAAGCCACACAACCCACACAAATATTCAAGACTCTAATAAGGTAAAGGAGACATAAAAACATTACATTGTTTGAGTTAATCTTGCAAATACAAGACGATACACTAATTTTCTTCTGTGCTAAAATAAGAAAATGTCAAAGAGCCAATGTTGACTGAGTGTTAATCTTAGGTTACTGTTCTAGTGTGGGTTGAGATCAAATTCAGGATGAAGCACTTTCTATTATAGGAACAATGTGTGACATTAAAGTTATTTTGATAACAGTTTTTATTGTGAGGGCCTTTTGGGAGCGAATGAACAGTGCCGAGGAACAGACAGATCATTAAGACATCATTAACAGACAGAAGAGAATGGCACTGCGAGGAGTTACAAGGGGATCTGGCCGACGCTCAAAACTCTGGCGAGGGGCTAGATAGATATACAATCAGACTGTAACTGGTACTATCTGAATTTTAACTCTGCGCTTGCTGCTGAAGATGGGGATGGAGCACTTATGGGAGTGTCCCGAGTGCTGTGATGTAGATTCTTAATTCAACATTCAACATTTTCCCCACCAAATCTACTTCTAAAAGTTGTATATATTTGTCTCCTCAGTGTAGTTATACATTTTTGGTACCTGAATTATAAGCAGAGTCTCATTAAAGGATGTAGTACTTAAACAAAATAAAGTTAAGCTCATTACAGTGATTGTTTAAAACAATGATTATACAAGACGTAATTATAAAAAATAAATTCATTTTCTTTTTAATTACAGGTTGAACAAGATATTGGCCTCAGTTATTCAAAATATTAGAGTGCTGTCAATTCTGTGACTGGTTTTACAGCTGGAGATAAACTGTTAGTCAAGTTTGAGAACTGACTGCTTTTAAATGAGAACTTTATCATTTTCCAACAATCCCTCCTACTTGAAGAATATGGTTTACAACCGTGATATCCCGGGTGCCACCACTCGACTACCTGGTGGTGTTGCCAGTGGTTTTCCTCTCAGTTCCAGACTAACCGGTTCATGTTATGTCATCGAAGAGGAACAGCCTACTGAAGGACAAGTTGATAACAATGGTAATAACCAGAGAACTCAATTGAACATCCCATGCAATAGTGCAGGAGTAGATCGAGATGTGAACTTTCCTGTGAAGGATGCTGATAATATTGATTCAAACAGTGGTAACAGCAATAACAATCATCATAACGCTGCTCGATTGTCCCAAGCATATAACTCCGTTACTGAAGTGAATCCATTAGCATCACTCGCTAATGAGTCCTCATCTTCTAAGAGCTTGTTTTCCAACGCAACACATGGTGAAGTAAATTTGCTGCCACAGCTTGCGTCAAATTCGACATTGTTGAATTCTCTGCGACAACAACATGCCACAAGTTCACACATGACAGAGGTCAAATCTGGTCATCTTATCCTCATTATTCCAGAGCTGAAGCTTAGCCCGGTTAATCCTAAATCAGAATGCTCTTTTCTCTCAAGTTCAAGGACTCTACCTCACCGTTGTCCTGTTATTGTAAAAATCCATGACAGAGGTTATGAAAAATATGCCATAATAAGCAGCACTAGACGCCAGCTTGGCCTGTCCCCATTTTGTGTGAAACTGAAACATAGTTATGTCAGTCAGTCAACATCTAATCCATCCCACTTCAGTCTCGTCATTGATAGTTCTGAAGGAAAGACATTCACCTTTGAAGCCAGCAGTCCAGATGTGGCCAAAGAATGGATGCAAGCCCTGACTCTCATAGACAGCTCACTACACAGGAGTAATCCACAGCTGTGCTTCTCTGAAACATCTAGTGAAGCAGCTGAACACACACAGTATTCGACAAATTCAAAATCTTCACACGCAACGTTGAATCTCGCCATTTTGCCACTTATGCCGGTGTTGTCGGAATCCGTTGAAGAAGAAGATGAAGAATAGACAGGTCCAGGAACGTGAAGCTACTCTTGAACTGTGACTACAGTACATCAGTACATTTTTTGCCAAGACTTGTGTTACGAATTGATGTAGCATGCTTACCATCTACGTTATTCGTGTTGTGTACAGGTGTGCATTTTATTTCACCTTGGACAGATAAATATCTTTGTCCTAACAAGGAATGAGATCTGTGCCTCCCTTTATCTCACACCAGTTGGCTTTCCATTTGTTTATGTTAAATAAAGCACATTATTTATGTCAATTTTCTGATTTGTTTCTTATGCATGTTTGTAGGGATAGTCATATGTAGTTTATATGCAGGGCTTGGCTTTATTTTTCAAAGGATATAGACAATCTATAATACCAGGGTATGATTCATGTATCTGGATTATGTCTGTTCAGAAAGTTGCTAGACATGGTTCCCATCACAAACACTGCATATGAACATCTATATTCATATTTTCCCTGTGTGGGTTCGGGGATTATATTATGGAATGAGGGGGGAATGACGAAGATAGACCCACGGTTCCCTGAAAACAAATTTTATAAACCATGGCTAATTGGGGGAGTTTTCGCCATAGTCGGAGACAAGGAACCAACAGTGCGCATAAAAAAGTGAAATTTGTCAAACAGATAAGCACACAAAAGTCGTTCTGGAGCAAGACCAAAGCCCAGAAGTGAGCAAACAACTAGAACCTTCTGCCTGATTTTATAACAGGTGACCTCTAAGAAGAAGTAGATATTCATATATGAATGCATACACAAGAGTACATTCACTCCTACACTGAAGATGTCTCCCTCTGCTGCTTTTGGGCCCACAGAAGATTTTACAGTTATTGAAATGTAGAATAGTTTGCACCACAGGAGGAAGTCACTCTCTCTTCAATTTACTCCCAAATTCATTCACTAACTAAATTTATCAGCAGGTCTGGACATTGATCAATGACAAAAATGTCCAAGTGACAGACAAAATGGCTACTGACCATACTCTGCACAACTGGTCTATACATACCCAGACCAACAGGAATGGCCACTAACCAAAATGTTTTCCTTTCCTGATGGCGATGATGTGAACTGTGATGTTTAGTCTTGATAAATGAATGAAGAAGAGAGGTTACTGGTGGAAAAGGAATAGGGTTTGCTTGCCTGTCAATCCCAGCACTTGACAGGTGACATGTCTTCAAACCCAGCACTTGACAGGTGACATGTCTTCAATCCCAGCACTTGACAGGTGACATGTCTTTAATCCCAGCACTTGACAGGTGACATGTCTTTAACCCCAGCACTTGACAGGTGACATGTCTTTAACCCCAGCACTTGACAGGTGACATGTCTTTAATCCCAGCACTTGACATGTGACATGTCTTTAATCCCAGCACTTGACAGGTGACATGTCTTTAATCCCAGCACTTAACAGCTGACATGTCTTTAATCCCAGCACTTGACAGGTGACATGTCTTTAATCCCAGCACTTGACAGGTGACATGTCTTTAACCCCAGCACTTGACAGGTGACATGTCAGCACTTGACAGGTGACATGTCTTCCCCCAGCACTTGACAGGTGACATGTCTTTAATCCCAGCACTTGACATGTGACATGTCTTTAATCCCAGCACTTGACAGTTGACATGTCTTTAATCCCAGCACTTAATAGGTGACATGTCTTTAATCCCAGCACTTGACATGTGACATGTCTTTAATCCCAGTACTTGACAGGTGACATGTCTTTAATCCCAGCACTTGACATGTGACATGTCTTTAATGCCAGCACTTGACAGGTGACATGTCTTTAACCCCAGCACTTGACAGGTGACATGTCTTTACTCCCAGCACTTGACAGGTGACATGTCATGTGACATGTCTTAATCCCCCAGCACTTGACAGGTGACATGTCTTTAATCCCAGCACACTTGACAGGTGACATGTCTTCAATCCCAGCACTTGACAGGTGACATGTCTTTAATCCCAGCACTTGACAGGTGACATGTCTTTAATCCCAGCACTTGACAGGTGACATGTCTTTAATCCCAGCACTTGACAGGTGACATGTCTTTAATCCCAGCACTTGACAGGTGACATGTCTTTAATCCCAGCACTTGACAGGTGACATGTCTTCAATGACAGGTGACCCAGCACTTGACAGGTGACATGTCTTCAAACCCAGCACTTGACAGGTGAGCATGTCTTCAATCCCAGCACTTGACACTTGACAGGTGACATGTCTTCAATCCCAGCACTTGACAGGTGACATGTCTTTAATCCACTTGACAGCATGTTTCAATCCCAGCACTTGTGACATGTCTTTCAATCCCAGCACTTGACAGGTGACATGTCTTTAATCCCAGCACTTGACAGCACTTGACAGGTGACATGTCTTTAATCCCAGCACTTGACAGGTGACATGTCTTTAATCCCAGCACTTGACAGGTGACATGTCTTCAATCCCAGCACTTGACAGGTGACATGTCTTCAATCCCAGCACTTGACAGGTGACATGTCTTCCAATCCCAGCACTTGACAGATGACATGTCTTTCTTGACATGTCCCAATCCCAGCACTTGACAGGTGACATGTCTTTAATCCCAGCACTTGACAGTGCAGGATTAATCCCAGCACTTTTTTCTGACTAATTTGGCTCAATCCCAGCATGGTTGACAGGTTGACCAGTATGGCTTGACGTTGACCTAGTATGGCTCTGAGGTTGACCTAGTATGGTTCTCAGGTTGACCTAGTATGGCTCTGAGGTTGATTACTAATAACTTGCTTCACATTTAATGACCTAAAATATGTGTCTAACAATTCACTTCTCAGCAGAGTATCGACTAGTGGACTGCCTTAGGACACAGGCTTGATTATATAAGGCATTAGTAGCCAGGTATGAGTGGCTTATATGGACACTTTCCCGGGTATGAGTTGGCTACGCGGATAGGCAGCCAGGTATCAGGGGGTAGGGACATATATAAGTGGCCTACATGTTCTATCTATCACCTAATTTTAGCAAAGCAAATAATTAACAAGCCAGAAAGTAACAAAACCAGCACAATAACTCCCAGACATTTTGCTGTGAGGGATAAGTGACTGTACTTCACCACAAGACTTTACATCACAGAGTAGATACATGATACAGATTCATCTTCTCCTTTCCCACTTTACAAATGTCAGTTAGGAATAAGGTTTAACATGCTTAGCTGAATCCTCTCTGTACCCTGAGTTCACAACCATATTCTGGTCCACTGAATCAACTACTTCCATCAATGACAGACTGCAATTCTGATGACAACTGTTGGCTTTGGCACCTCTAGCAACTGCCATATGCATTTACTGCTTGCGCATATATCTGGATTGTGTCAGGACTAATTATTTGTTCACCATTTTTTTTTACGTGCAGTGACGGACATATATTTTGGTTTTCACTGGCACAGAAACGGAGCAAGAACGGGAAAACCCATCTGCAGTGAGGTTGAAACCTCGATTAAAACAAGACTGAATCAACACAAAACTCCAAAATACGAAGCTTAAGTCAAATATCAATGGAATTAATCCTGATCAGAAATGGTCCCAGATATGTAGAGATAAAAGAATGCTTATGTCGTCTGATAAGGCTCATGCTAATGTTGATTCGCCAAAACAAACCCTTTGAGGACATGCTGAATCAATGACACTTATCTCATCATCATCATCAGGTGCCTTGCCGACTGAGCGATCATGCCTCTCCATAATCCACGATCTCCTGCAGCATGTATCTGTTCGTGTGCCGACACACCTCCATGCCATGCAACAAGACTGTCAAGAATCTTCTCTCGTTGTTTCCCCCATCCCTTCTTCCACAAATCTTCCCAGTGGTCACCACATGTTCTATTTTCCCTCTTCTTATAACATGGCCGAAAAATGATGACTGTCTCCTTCTGATGTCTGGAATAAGCTGTGACACTTATCTATAGACACATAAACATGGATTGCTCCCATGAATATTCTCTTGTAGTGTCCAACTCTCCTGGCGGTTTATGTATCCAACCAAATTTTTCAAAGGTTGATTGTACAGCATAGACCAGTGTCACCTTGACATCTCTAAGGAGTATTTCTTTCTATCGAGATGCATCTCCTCCTTCCTCCTGTTCACCAGCTGTAAACACAGGTGCAAACTTCAAGTTGTTCGTCCACTTCCAGACTTTGGTGGTCTTGGTCCAGAATTTGAGTTTTGTGTACATATTCGTTTTACAAATCTGGCTTATTTGTAAGCAGACTGGTCGTTTCTTGTCTGTGATGCGGATGCACTCTCACTTCAAAGGAACAGCCCTGTGACTCGATGAGTATGTTTAGGAAGATACAGGACTGGGTCAGAAGGCAGTGATTGATGGCTCTACAGCGTTCGCGGCTGACAAGGATTAGTTTCATTTTTGTCCCAGGATATGTATGGGTACAAGGAAATGAGTAAGGTTGCAGGTAAAGCTACTGTGTAAATCAGACAAACCATGGACCAGGCTGATATGCTGAATACCGTACGAGATTCAAGACGTTTGCATGAACTAGCTGAGAGCTGTACATATGCAACCATGGTCAGACTACAAGAACAGCAAGTTAAACTGGGTGTCGCCAAACAAGAAAAACTACGCGGGCAGTCAAAGAAGAATAAAAAACCAACACAGAACTGGTGTCGTCAGCCGCTACACGATGCGGGGTGTGCAATGAGGATAATCTGTCGACTAACTACTCCTGATTAGTCGACTTTTACATCATGCTTGTTATGGGGCAGTTGGTAATTATCTCATCATCAATAGCCCCCCCCCCCCTCCCACCCCCAGTGGGCCCTAGAACCCACATGTGGGTGAAATACAAAAAAAAAATATTACACAGTTCATCACATCTCTCCCGACCTCCACTAATGTTGATGTTTAATAAAACAGCACCAGCATTCACAAATTCACTTTTATCTGTTCATGCTATAAATATGATGTTTTTTAATCTTTTCGCTAAACACAGTGTAAATATAACAAATCTAGCAT